CCCCAAAACCCCAAAACCCCAAAACCCCATAAGGAATAAGTTATTGAAATTATTAATAATACAATATGAATCAAACCCAAAATAAAGTTCCCAAAAGGTCTTTTAAAACTGTTTTGTCACCCTTGAGAATGGCAAGGAAGACCAAGGCGGTTACAAAGGATATGGTATGTGTTTTGTATATGTTTTTGTAAGAGAGAGGGATTTTGATTGTTTTAGGATAAGAATTTAGTGGTTTATCCCCTCATCCCCACAGTACAACCCTTCCTTCTTCAGTAACGGTTTCCTCCTGAGCCTCCTTTAGACCACTAAAATCTGAAAATTCTGGAAAATTTGTAGGAATTGTGTGGGTTTTAGGGGAAAATTTGAACTGGAAATTTTAGAAGGGATTGGGAAAGGAAGAAAATTTGGATTTTTGGGGTTTAAGGGAAGGGGGATTTTTGGAGGATAGTGAGGATTGGGAGATGTGGGTGGTGAGGTGGGGTATGGGCTTATGAGAGGGGATAGGTAGGATTGGATAGGGATTTTTAAGGGTAAAGGAAACGTGTGGATAGTGTATGGAGTTTTCGATTGGGAGGAGAGTTAGTGGTATTATATGTTTTTGCTCTACTTAAATGTTTGGATTTGCTTTTTAAATTTAAACCTATATAGAAAGAATCAGAGACTCCTGATTGTTTGCTTTTTAGTCCTTCAAGAAACATCACTAAGGCTAACTTTTTGGATAAGGTAAGGGAAATATAGTAGAAAGTTTGATAAATATTTTAGTATTTAGTGCCTAAAATTAGTTTGATGTGATTGTTTGATCAATAATTAAATAACTTGAGTAATAGTTAAAAAATTTAACTCTTTTTGTATAGAAAATTTTTAACAGCCGGTAATAATATAGATGTGTATCAATCGTATTTCTATATTTATTTTTTGAAATTTTATATCATTTATATCTCTTTTCTATTTCTGGAAAAATTATTCTATAGTTATGATAACTGTTTTTTGGATTATGAAACAGTCTCGAACCAATATTCTAACTTTGAATGAGACCAAAAATCTTTTTTGAGAAATTTGGGTTTATTTCGGTCATTATAAAGGGTTTCATATTGGAATAGATGAGCAAGAGAATCAAAAAGAGAAGCAATATTGAGCTTCAAAAGTAGGATTTATATATTTACCAATTTAGAGTTCTACAGCTTCAGATAAATAGGATCAAGAGTTTATCTCCAAACAGGAGGCTCTATAGTAAATATTCTAAGGTTACTCCCATAATTAAAGAAAGCCTGTCAAGGTAATTTATTTTGGCTAATGTATAGGTATATAAGCCCAATGACTAGAAATCTTCAGATTAGAAAGTTGTCGAAAGTAAAGAAGGCAAATGTGGTGTCTAAGCTTGGCAAAAAATTCACTCCTGCTAGGTAAATAATCAGCTCTGGCTATCAAAATTGCATTAATTAGGTTATAAATGATTGAATTCTGGAGTAAATTAATACAGGATGGTAATACTAATTTTCTAAAAGACCCTTCCAGCATCATAAGGGCAGGCCTGAATAAAAATTAGAGTCTTTGTTGACTATTTTACTAGAATTTCCAATTTTGAGTTTCAACGACGTATGCTCTTAAAGATGATTTTTAAGGCTAAAAATAGCCAAGAGGTACTAATTTTACATAGTTTTTGCCAACGTTTTCTTCATTTTTAATAGATAATATTTTGCAAACTGACAAAGTTTCATTTCCTAACTTTTTACGATGTTTAAAAAGTCTTCGCAAGGGATCTATATGACCATGACGGTTTAATAGGAAGATAAATATGAAAATTATGACTAAGTTAATTAAGGCCAAGACTAAAGCCAGAAGGAAGAATCCTTCTAATTCAAGCCTATCAAGGATATTCGGAGGTAAGTTCTAGCGCGAAATTGGTCTTATTGGTGCTTTAGAGCCTGTTTTGTCACCTATGAGACATGGAGCTTCGGAAAATAAGAGATATGAAAATATTCAGAATTTGAAGCATGGGAGTAATTTTAGCCAAAATGTACTGACTTCTGAAAATATTCATAAGAGAAAGACGAGGATGTCTAATCAGACTTCTATTGGGAAACATTTTGAAGTTTATAGGTCTCTTAGCCCTGAGGAGGGTTCCTTCAATATTTTGGAGAAATACATTCAAAGTGATAGTCTGAAAAATGAATTGGGTAAATATTATTTTAAACCCGCTTCTTTTGTCAATTTTTTAATAAATTATCCAGATATATTATGTCAAATTTAACTGCTCCACTTCTCTAATTGTCAGTTGTTTTACTCCTTGGATTACTTTTCTTCAAAGTAATCTAGTTTTTGAAAAATGCTCCATCGGATGTCTCCTTTAGAAAATCTAGATATTTCTGGAAATATACTATACTACAATATTTTTATTCTCTTTCTTCCTCTAATCAAGAGTGTAGATCCATGACTCTCTGAGCTAACCATGAACGACACAAGCGTCCTAATTGATACTTTCTCTCAGAAAAAGGTGTATAATAATCATCAAATAAAAATAAAATTTCCCTAAACTCAACTTAAAATAAAAAATTTCTATTACTAATCCCATATAAATAACCCTCTAACCCATTTTCTAACGCTAAATTTCACAACACACCTTCTTTGAGTCACCCACAAGACTCCCTAAAAGAGGGAGTTATGACCCCAATTCCCCTCAGTTTCATGCTCGTCCTCCTATTTTCCTATAATCTTTCAACTTTTTATATCTCCCGCCTAAACCCCATCTGTTCAGGACCAAATATTTCCAAGTCAAAATCCAGATTTCCTGAATTTTTTGAATAAATTCTACCTTTCAGTTCTAAATTTCACTGTAAAATTCCTGAAAACGTGAATGATTTGTGAAAGCAGGTTTTAATTTAGTAGATGAAGGAGGGAAGAAATAGGGGATTTTGGGGAGGAATTAGGGGGATTAGTGAAGAATGGGGTTTTGGGGTTTTGGGGTTTTGGGGTTTTGGGG